GTGTTAATCAGGCTAGTGTAAGAGCAGGAAAAAGTTAAGAAAGAGCTTGGATAACACTTAGTATTTATAAAATCAAATTATTTTAAAAGATTTATTCCTGTTATATATTTTTTGTCTCATACTATAGTATACAACAAGTGTTACAGTGTTATGTATCTACCTAGGAAAGAGTCCCACACAATGCGTGGGAGTTGATACCTGTGTTGTGAATGAGTAATTGGAGTAACAATCAACAAATTTGTAATATTTATCTGAAAAGAATATGGAACAAAGTAAAAGAAAATTGTTAAAATGTAATACTCTAATTTATTTTTCTAAATATATAGAACTCATCATTCATAACAAGTGAGTGCTTTAATCGGTAAATTCACTATGAAATAAAGCATGATTTTGTATAGATTCAAAAACATTTTGAATTCCTTGTTTTTGCCTCTGTTTTTGAAAAACTGTTTTTCACATTCCAAATACTACAGTAAATGTGTATTTCCAAAACAACTCAAAAAATACCATATCCAAACATTATATCAAAAACAACTCCATATGTATATTTCAATTTGTATATTTCAATTATGTATATTATATATATTATATTAATATAAATTAAAATATACAAATTGAAAATAATATATTTATATATTTATATATTATATAAATATTTATATACATTAATATTATACATAATATAATATAATTTACATAATGTGTAATATTGTATACATAAATGTATAAATATTTATACATAATATATTATGTACATTATATTATAATATATACATTATTAATGTATAATATTATTATGTACATTATTGTGTATAATAATGTTATGTATAATATATAATATACATAATATGTAATAATGTAATAATGTATATTATGTATAATATATTATGTTATGTATATTATATTATATATATACAATATTATGTATATTATACAAATTGAAAATTATATATTATATATTTATAAATTATATAAATATTTATATAATGAAATATACAGTAAATATTACAAATTGAAATATTATATAAACACCATATTTATAATATTATAATATTTATAATTAATATTAATGTATATTATATATACTAAATATTTATATATTTATTTATACATATTATAAATATTTTATTTTATTTAAAAAATATTTTTATATATTTATAATATATTTATATAAATATTATATATTATATATAATATAATACATAATATAATACATAATATATATTATATATATTATACATTTATAATTATACATTTATAAATATATTTATATTATGTATTATATATAATATAATACATTTATAATGCATTTATATATTTTTATATAAATATATTTATTTATAAATGTTTATAAATGTATTATAAATGTATAAATTTATATTTATATAAAAATTATAATTTATAATTTATACATTTATACATTTATATAATATTCATTTAAAGTTTATACATTTATAATAATATACATTTATAAATATATTTATGTTATGTATTATATATAATATAATACATTTATATATTTTTATATAAATATTTATAAATGTATTGTAAATGCATAAATGTATATAAATATAAAAATTATAAATTATAAAAATACTCAAAAATATGTTTTAAAAATGCCTCTAGAAATAATCCAAAAAACATCTACAGTAAAAGTTTTTCATATAGTTTTTTAAAATAACCCCAAAAACAACTAATCCAAATGGACTTGTATTTCAAAAACGAAATGCTATAGCACTGTTTTTGAAAAACAACCCCAAAAATAACTAATCCAAACGGAGCAATTGTTTTCTTAAAAATGAGGGAACCTAGTGCAAAAAAAAAAAAAAAAATAGAGAAGATCAAGGCTACTAAAGTGATGATATCACATTGGTACTATAATAATAATACCAAACAAAGCCCTTGCATCAAATTATTTTGGAATGAAATGAAACTTTTGAAACAGTTGCATTGACACTCTCATAGGGTGAATAATAATAAGTTGAGTTCTCAAATATATAGATTACCTGTAGGTCATTGCACAGCATGCCTGGAACAATATCATCGGCTGAACCAATGATTATAATAGGAAATTTAGGATGAAAGCACATGACTCAAATACTATGGCCTTCAAGCATTCGGAGACAATTTTTGACTTGATCATCCCACAGGTAATTGAAGTAAGACATGAAAAGGAGATCAAAATTGTATATAAATTTCGACTATTTAATATATCATAAGTATATGAGGATATGAAAAGCAAACCTTAATAGTGGGATCATCAAGATCCAATGATTAGTTAAACCTTGCTTCCACCAAAACTGGAACAATTAAAAAAAAAGTAGCTTCTAAAAAAAAATACAATCCATTGATATCTTATCATACATATATAACAATGCTAATATGGAAAAAAGAACATCAGATTTTTGAATCAAAGAACTTAAATAACAAAAGACAAGCTTTAACAAATCTAATCAAGGAACATAAGAGGGAGTAGGGTAGCAAAATAAGGATACCTTCACGAAGGATTGAAATGGAAACCACAAGGAAAGGAAAGGGGAAGAGGAACAACCTATGGTATGAACCATAACCAGCTGAACCAATGATATTTTGTATTAACAACCCCCGTTATTGTAGCTACCTCAAAAATCAGCTCAACAAATGCTATAGAAGGGAAAAAGTTTTGCAGTTACACTTCAAAGATGCTTTCCAAGAGGTTCCTCATCTCTCATGCATTACTCCTATCTTAAAGATGCCATAATTGCTCATTCTAATTAATCCACTATTTGTATGAGTTCAATTGCACATGTAGAAGTTTAGGAGAGGAAACAATTACACCTCCACTATGGAGTAGTCAATTAATCATCATCTTGATACATTCATATAGTCTGAATGATGCTTCGATTATTGAATTTAATTAGTCCCACTCTTTGCCCAGTTCAATTGCTTGACTTACCGTTTGCAATAATTCCAAGTTCACCCAACTATCTTTTTGTGTTAACTACAGATCTACGAATGGTTAAAAAGGTAAAACTGTCACTACTACCACATAAGTAGAATTTGAGAATATAATCATCATCCCACCAAGGGTACGCTTGTCAACTCACATAGCAATAAGTATAGCATGCTTGCACTCAAAGCTGAATCAATTGTGCTATGACGACATGTTACCTAAATTGCCCCTAAAAAAAGCAGATGAAAAATAAACAACAGTCAAACACCAACTCCCTTATATATATATATATATATATATATATATATATATATATATATATATATATATATATATATATATATATATATAGGATACAATTCTAAGACTGCTTCCACATTGTCAAACCCACATATTCAGCTTAACTGATTGGTTTATATCAATGATGTTTGTCATGCTCCAAATTAATGGGTTTTTTTTTTTTTTTTTTTACTAAGCAGATTGTAATCATTTGTTTACTGAGAAAATTACACCTTACAGAAAGCTTTTAGATTTTTTTTCCAATTTCAACTTCATATATCTTAAGTTGCAATAGAATCAGAAATACACCGTCTTAATCACTATCAAGTCAAACCACCCACTCGCAGGCTACGCGTGGACCGCTTCAAGAAAAAAAAAAATATATATATATATATATACATAAACATGCGTCTATTCAATATTCATTATTATATCTGTAATGTATTTCTGTGACCTCCAATGCGTCTATTCAATATTCATTATTATATCTGTAATGTATTTCTGTGACCTCCAATGTCTAGTTTGCGTCCTGCAGAGAATAGCAACGGCCATGCTACGTTAATTGAGACTTGACTTCTCTCTCTTTAATGTTGCAGAACAAAACCATGTCAAAGGAACTTGGGCTGCGGTTAGATTGAAAATTTTGACAAGAGATTTGAATTTCTCATAGACTTCATTTGGATTGAAATTTTTCATTAAGGATTTGAAATCCACTCAAATCACTCTCGTTGTTTAGATGTCTTAAGAGGCATTTGGGTGCATAATTTATTTATTATATAAATACATTTTAAACTCTAGAATAATTGATAATTTATAAATCCAAATACCTTGTAAGTAATCTAAACAAACAGAGAGATCTAAGAGAATTTCAAATCTTTTGTCAAATCCCTCAACCCAAACGCAACCATAAATTCTTATAATTTTCCACGTTATCTGGAAAGTATTTAGATTTGTAAATTTTCAATTATTCTAATATTTAAAATATATTTTAAAAATTGATATATTACAAAGCCAAATGCCTATCAAGTAATAAAAACAACTAGAGCTATTTTGAATGGATTTAAAATCTTTCATCAAAATTTTCAATCCAGTCTTGTATTGTTCTTCGCAGTCTCATGCAAACAAATAATGGGTTTGCTCCTCAACTGATTATTTTAACTAATGATAGATTCTGATTTTGGACAATCAGTTCTTGCTATGTTCTTGAGTGCTCTTGTATTCTAATTATATATCTTTTCAATGACCAAGAAAGCTAAAGCAATTATATATCATCTAAGAGTAGCTTTTGCTGGACCTGATTATTTTCTATAATCAATTTTTATAATCAAATTTTGCAAATTCTAAAGCAACCAAGAACAAGGCCAATATCTTCACCAACTTTTGCGCGTCCTGTGCCAATTCAAAGAGTGAAAGCAATACAAATTTGGAGACAGGAACACAACCTATTTCCCAAAAAACCAGTAGAGGGAGAAATCAAATAATTTCGCTTGAAACCGGCAAGGCCATCCCAATAAATAGAAATGGCCCTGGACTACTAATTGCTCCCAGCAACCCCACAAAGAAGAGGGATGTGGCACTGAGCAAACAAGTAACTTCAATAGACTAAACGAGAATGAAGCCGTCTGGAAGAGCAGCCTTTCGCATGAGGGTTGAGAGGCTCGTGGGCCTGACAAGCCGCAAGTACATTTCTCCCAAACAAGTTGGTAGGCCGTGCACCTTAGGGCTTTGACATCGCAAACTAGACACTTCCATAGTGAAAATAAAATAATACAATCAAGCAAGCACCAAGAAACTCAAATCCATGTCAAGCCTTTACTCGGGGAATAGATCCTTTTTTTTTTTTTTGAGCAACTTTTGCAGAGTAAGATGCACCAATTGCATGACAACGTAATCTCCAAAATATGGTCAGACAAAATGGAAGGTGCCAAAAGAAAAGAAAGGACAACAAAAGATTCACAGCTAATGCCTTTTATTTATCCTTTTCCCGTTCCTCTTATCCCTTTTACTTTGTGGCTTTGGATGGGATCTCATCCTTGCTGCCTTCTTGAATTGTTTCTTCTTGCTAACAGATACTACGTGTTTTTTCTTCTTTTCAGGGCCTTCATCCAACTGAGGTGCTTCTGGCAATGGCCTTTGACTGGGATACTCATCCTCCCTAGAGATCTCCCTTGTGGTCACTGTGACTTTCATATCACCATTATCATACATCATTGTCCCTGTTTCACAAAGCAAAATTATAATTTAAGAGGATGACAGTCAAGTTTAATGCACAATTTTTCTATTCACGCACCAAAAATTAAAGGATAATGGAATTACAATTAACAAATTTTATCTGTTTTAGATTTCAATAAATTACTTATTATCATGTACATAATTGTGCAATAATCCTGTATCACAGGACAAATGCCGGAGTTAACACTTATAGGTGACTATATACATGCATATCACCATACCAGCAATACAGAGAAGTGCCCTCAAATGAAGTCCTGTACTTATCTTTGCACAAAAGTATCTAAAGAGAACTTCTTTGGATGCCAGTCAGAGAATTCAGAAAAATCTGGCTGCCTCAGTTCCCCATTATTTTGCTGTCGTGGATACACATCCATGGAACCACAGAAATTATCAAAATAAAAAAAGTGACAATAATAACTATGATTATGAGAAAGAACCCCTTTTTTGTAATTTATGATCCGATTGGAGCTTGTCATCAGACACTTTTTTTTGTTTGGGGGGGGGGGTGGGGTTGGTTGGTGGGGAGAGAGAGAGAGAGCATCAGCATATTGACTGGTACCAAAGAAGTACAAGGGCAGCAGGACGCAGGGGATTTGTATTGGAAGACGAGCTATTAGCTAATTTGCATATCCTATGGCCTCTAATATTAATAATAAGCATGTTCTAAGATACAAGAATGATGTATGGAGGTTATCAAAAAAAAAAAAAAAGAATGATGTGCAGAGATACCAGAGACTGATGTGGTTGGCTCCTCTTCTCCATTGTCCTCTCTGTCGTCATCTAATTCCTTAGGTTCAGAACTTGAATCAGGTTGAGCTCCACCATATATGACAAATTCTCTTTCCAGTTTTCTCTGTCAAATAAATCAGAAGGAAAGTCAAAGAACCTCATCTTAAGAATTCACTCAACAAGCCTGCTCGCTGGAGCATCTTTGGTGAATTACAGGCACCAACACACTGTTTCAAGCTTAATTAAGACCACTCAAGTTTTCAAACATTAAGTGACAAATTGTTTTGAGTAGTTTTTTAATGCTATTTTCAACAGTAAACAATAAAATCGGAAGTTCTAATTTGTTTCAATGCAAGGAGCAGATTTTAGTTCCATGAAAGACTAAATCTTTAATAAAACTGCAAGAGAGATGGATGCCTCCAATCCAATGGCTTTTGCTTTTTTCACTTGTTTTATTAAATATTTTCTCCGAGAAGCCTTCCCACCCAATCCCATTATTTGTGTGATTGAAGGTTTCAAGAAAGTGACCAGAAACATGATATTGAAAAATGAGAACCAAGTACAATGGACCAGATAATATCACAAACTGTCAACTAAGCAACAACTGAACCTAGTTTACAGATCTCAGCTAAAAAACTCATTTCATGGCCAAAATTTACTGATAGGATTTTCTTTACAAAAGGTATTGTTTACATCTCAAAGAGAGTGATAAAAGAATTCCACTCTCCTCAGATCCAAATGTCTTCATTATTACCAAGCAGAATCAGACACCACTTTACATTATTAAAATACTTATTCAATCTACAAAAATGCAAACCAAAGTTACTCCTATACAATCTGAAATATAATTTTCAACTGTCAAGGAAAGAAAGTTACATCTGGAAAAAACAAGAAAAGATCCACTTGACTAAGAGAAGTCAACTATTCCAATAATATTGGAAAGAAGGTAGTATCTAAGAGATGGTAGACTCAAGGCAGAATTGGAACCATGGAAAGGAAGCATTAAGAGCTTATATTCCAAAGAAGTGGAGTGGCATCTCAATTTCCAGGAACAGCTTTCAAAATTTTGGATGATTACCATTTCATGGAGCATGCTTCAGGTGTATATCATGAAGAAGAGATAGACATGTACTGAAACTGCTGTAAAATGAGGGCTAAATGGAGCTTTTCAAGGGTCAGAAGAAGTCGTAAATTGACCATTCCCCTAGGCAACCTAGTAGTTTCAACTCTGACAGCTGCTATTACATGACTGTTGTTCCCCTTTCCTCTTGGCATAATAATATGAATTTAATCCAAATTTCTTAAAAAAAATGAAAAACAGGGAAAGAGGGGGGTGGGGGTTTATAATTGCAAAATGAAGATAAAAGAGACAAAGAATTCGGTACACCATGATCTCATATCCAAATTAGATAGCTCCTCAAGAAACATATACAAGGAGACATGGTGTGCTAGCCTTGTAAAACCGAGTAATTTCTCTACCTAGAAACTTGGTTTATAACATATAAGCTCCCCCCAATTTTTTACCCTTCAAAGAATCTCAAGTAATTCACATGCCAAGACACAGACTTAAGGCCTTCAGTTTTGATATTTACATACTTAACCCGACTTTAGAAAACTATAATTAAATCATCTAAACTGCCCTCCATTAGCAAATGACAACTATAAAAACACTCCATTTTTCAGTATATCTAAGGTATTCACAGCCAAATACAATCAATACGCAACCTCAAAAATGATGTCCTAATTCCTAAAGCACCATTCACTGAATTGAAGCAAATAATTGCATTACTTTTAAGCCACTTAAATAGGCCCATGAAAGTACGCAAGTTTAGAATTCAAGTACCACCATACAAATAAAGCATTTTAAAAACTAATCACCTATACCTATTCCAGAAAGAAAAACAAACAAAATAAAAAGAATAACTCGAACAGGATAAAAATTGAACCTTTTTGCGGGCTTCAATCCGCTTTCGGCGCTCAGCTTCCTGTAATTTTTGCTGTGCTTCTCTTCTTCTCTTCTTCTTCCTCTTGTGAAACCCAGTTACAAAATCCCTACAATTGATTTTAAAAAAATCGAAAAGCTCAAAATTTGAAAAAAAAAAAAAAAAAGAAAAAGAATGGCGTAGAACTTTAAACTCGAAGCAGTGAAAATTTTGAAAACAGAAGAAGAAAGAGTACTTGAGGTCCTTTTCATTGAAGGAGACTGAAAGGGCTTTGTTCTTGAGGGCTCTTTTCTTGATATGGCGGGCTCCTCTTCGCGCGTCAGCTTGTGAAGGCACCGCTTCGGCTTCTTCCATGCCGGAGCACAACTGGTTGGTACTCGGGCTTTCTTGGAGTAATCAGTAACGAACTTATTGTTGACTAGGGTATACGCTTTTGACGAGTCGTACTTTCTTCTTATGATGTTGTACCTTGGTCTCCCATTTTATAGTTTGGTACTCTGGTTCAATAAACTGGGAAAATTTTGTAGAAAGAGGCTAAGAGCTAGTGGCTGGGTGGCTTTTTTCCTTCTTTTTTTTTTTTTTCTTCCGTTTTGGGCTGGCGATGCTGCCTGAGCTAAAATGTTTTTGTCGGAGGAATATTTATTCAAATATCAACATTATTCTTACTAGTTAACCCATTGTCAGATCCATTTTTTCAAAAAAAAAAAAAGATTCATTAACCACTAATTACTCATTATCTTTTCTTTCTAATTAATTGAATAGCTTGCCTACTTCTTTACCCTCTTTAATTTATTTATCTATTATTTTCATAGCTCATTGATTTGATTTTGAGTTTTTTATCATATTTTTCTTATATTGTAATTCTTTTAGTTTATTTTTTTATTTTCGAAGTTGTATTTAAAAGTTTTTTTTTTTTGCAAATACAATATGATTTAACTTGAACAACTAACAATCTAAAATGAAAATAATCCAAAAAAACATAGACATACTTTTCCTTCAATATTCATGGGATATAAAATGTAATGCAATTTAAACTAACTTTAATCTAGTTATTAGAAAATATGGACACATGTTGAAGTCAAGATGTATATAATTAGAAAAGTGGAAAGGATAGTGAAGTTTATAATAATATCAACTGCACACTAGTACAATAAACAAACAAAATTCAAAAAAATAAAATATGTTGCATATTTCACAAGATTAGTTCGAATGACATCATAATAACAATCAGACAATTTTCCCATCATCTTTAATTTAAAAAAAAAAGAATCAAAAACATAATATACCCTCCAAAAAATTGCAACAAAATTGCATTGCAATTTTAATCAAAATTTATGGTCACTTCAAAAGGCCAAGAAAAACATACTGATGGTGATACAAAAATAGCAAGAGTGGAGCAGAGAAGAGTATTATGCAAAGATCTTGAACCATATGTTGCAAAAGTTTCAAGAAAATGAAAATAAATTATAAAATAGGAAAGATAAGGAGAGATTATAATGCAGGATTGGAGAGGAAGTGAGAAAGCAGACAAAACATTGTAATGTCAATGAGAAAGAGGGAAAAAATGAGTAATTGGTGGATAATAGGTCTAACAAAATCAGTGAGAATATATGGAGTTAACTAGTGAGGGTAATGTTGGTATTTGCATAAATCTTGCTCTAACAAGAAGGTTTTAGCTCTAGTAGTATCGTTTGCCTACATTTTGGAGCAAGGTTAGGTAATGAGCAACTTATTTTATAGGAATAACTCTGGTAGTATGCATTAGGTGTTTCTATTTCTATAAGTGTTTTTTTTAAAATTACACTGTAAAATTGCATATCAAAAACTTTTACAATAGTTATATGTTTGGGGTGTTTTTAAAACTTAAAATTTTATTAGAATAATTAAAAATTTTTAAAAATTTCCCACCAAACAGTACCACCTATCACTATCGCTGTCCCTTCTGTCCTCTCTCTTCCACTGCCGCCAACCCTCTCCCTCCTTCTTCTCTCTCTCTCTCTCTCCCTCTTTCTCTTTTCCCTTTCTTTTTCCTCTTCTCCCTCCCCCATATCCTCATTTCTTCCATGTGATCAATTTGGCACAGTTGGATGGCTATTCACATCAGTTGAAAACATTTGTAACACTTCTTTATTGTTAGAAGGGAGGGGAGGGAGGGCAAGAGGAAAAAGGAGGAAGAAGAGGAAATGAGGAAAATGGAGAGGGAAAATAAGAAATAAGGGGGAGAAAAATAGAGGAAGAAGGAGGTGAGGGTTTGGGTGGGGGTAGAAAAAAAATTGGGCAATAGGATTTGGTATATTTTTGTTTATCTTTTTTAAAATTTTTGTCGGAACACCGTTTGAATTAACTATTTTTTGGGATATTTTTGAAATATTTTACTATATTAGTATATATGAAAAACTTTTATTGTAAATGTTTTTTGTGATTTTTTTGAAACATATTTTGGGGTACCTTTTAAAATTAAAATATTTTTAGAGTACTTTTTAAAAATTTATAGTACCACTCACAATCACCGCCACCGCTACTCCTCTCTCCTCATTCTTCCTCATCCCCTCTTCTTCTTTCCTCTTCATCCGGCCCTCCCATCCACTCCTTAAATTGGTCATAGCCAGATTGCGACAAAAAAAGTTGCGACCTTTCTGGCCATAACTAGAGGCCTTGATTTCATCTCAAATGGATCGAGGGGAAAAGGGAGGTCTAGGGGGTGGGAAGGAAGGGAAGAGAAGAAGGACAAGAGAAGGGGAAAAGAGGAGAAGAAAGAGGGAAAGGGTGGTGGCTGCGACAGCAGGTGGTGATAATAAGTGGAAAATGTTATTAATTTTTTTAAAAATTTTTTTGTACATATTTATGAGTTGTTTTTGATACATTGTATAGATGAGATATTTTTGAATTGTTTTTATTTGAGTATTATTGTAACATTGTATTTAAAAAACTAGTTTTTAAAAAATAGGTCAATCTAAATAGGATCGAAGATTGTATAAATTAGATATTTTTTAAGATATTTTTGAAATGTGTTACTATAGCATTACATTTGAAAAACTTGCTAATCCAAACATTATTTTTTTGATAAAGGCATTTATGATATATTTTATAAATAATATTTTTTTAAACAAAAGACAACACCTATTCTAACTTACTCTAATGATTTTTTATGTTATGCACAAACTTATCTATGGTACATTTGCTTACAAGGATGAAATGGTGCATTCTTTGCTAATTAGTTTTTAAAATGTGTTCTTTCATTTAGTTTCTGAACCCTTAAATTTTTGGATTTTTTATTTAGGGATAGTAAATTAAGTTTTAATTTTCATAAGAACGTGACTCGTAGAAAATCCTATTACTCAAATACGATCTATTGAACATTATCATTTTTATCGACGTCATATAGATGCATCTAAAACTTATATATGCTTCTAGAAAATTGGTTTGAGACTTACAAAGATACAAATGAGCGAAGAGTAATGGGGTGCGTGAAGAGGGGATGTCATGAAGGCTAAATTTCCTGTTGTGTTTGTTAATTTTCAAATTTTTAAACTGAAAAATTTATCATCCAGTAGTTACACCAAACAGCATTTATGACATTGTCATTATGAACCTTTTTTTCAAAAAAAATTTGAAGTATGCATTTTTATACAGTGGTGAGATAGAATCAAACCCTTATCATAATTTTTCAAAAAAAAAAAGATAAGAAAGATGATATGGTGTATTAAAAAAAATTATCCATAAATCTCCTTTTTCGGTCGAAGATGAAAAGCTTGTTTTGATTTGTGCATGATAGATTAATCTTTGAAACTCAAAAAACCAGTATTAACTTTTAAACTCTTGTATAACAATTAGATAACCTTATCCAATCACGTCTTAAATTTTGAATCCAAATCCATATGCTTCTCTGTAACGGTACTAGCAAACATCACATACGATTTAAATCCCTCACCATTGGACTTAGATTTTGGTCCTAATTATCAAGAGATCTGATTATTTAACGGCTCAAAGTCTATAGATCAAAGCTACCCAAAAGCGTAGGATCATTACTCGACCAACCAACTAACCTTCGTAAACTCCAAAACTCAAAATATTGTTGAACTTTCATTCCGAAATCCGGTCTAATCTACGGCGGTGGCGACAGGTGGTGATAATAGGTGGAAAACGTTATAAATTTTTTTAAAAATTTTTGTCGATATTTGTGAGTTGTTTTTGATGCATTGTATAAATGAGATATTTTTTGAATTATTTTTATTTGTGTATTATTGTCACATTATATTTAAAAAAAATAGTTTTTTAAAAAAAGATCAATCCAAACAGAGTCGAAAATTGTATAAATTAGATATTTTTTAAGATATTTTTGAAATGTGTTACTATAGCATTACATTTGAAAAACTTGCTAATCTAAACTTTATTTTTTTTAAAAGGCATTTATGATATATTTTGTAAATAATATTTTTTTAAACAAAAGACTATACCTATTCTAAGTTAGTCTAATGCTTTTTATGTTATGCACAAACTTTTCTATGGTACATTTGCTTACAATGATGAAATGGTGCACTCTTTGCTAATTAATTTTTAAAACGTGTTCTTTTCATTTAGTTTCTTAACCCTTAAATTTTTGGATTTTTTGTTTAGGGATAGTAAATTAAGTTTTAATTTTCAGAAGAACGTGACTCGTAGAAAATCCTATTTCTCAAATACGATCTATTGAACATTATCATTTTTATCGATGTCATATAGATGCATCTAAAACTTATATATGCTTCTAGAAAATTGGTTTGAGACTTACAAAGACACACATGAACAAAGAGTAATGGGATGCTTGAAGAGGGGACGTCATGAAGGCTAAATTTTCTGTTGTATTTGTTAATTATCAATTTTTTAAACTTAAAAATTTATCATCCAGTAGTTACACCAAACTGCATATATGACATTGCCATTATGAACCTTTTTTCAAAAAAAAATTGAAGGATGCATTTTTATACGGTGGTGAGATAGAATCAAACCCTTATCATAATTTTTCAAAAAAAAAATATAAGAAAGATGATATGGTGTATTAAAAAAAATTATCCATAAATCTCCTTTTTCGGTCAGAGATGAAAAACTTGTTTTGATATGTGCATGATAGATTAATCTTTGAAACTCAAAAAACTAGTACTGACTTTTAAACTCTTGTACTAACAATTAGATAACCTTATCCGAGAACGTCTTTAATAGGTAGAAAGCGTTAACAAATTTATTTTTTATTTTTTTGTCTATATTTGTGAGTTGTTTTTGATGCATTGTATAGATGAGATATTTTTTGAATTATTTTTATTTGTGTTTTGTTGTAATATATATTTAAAAAATTAGTTTTAAAAAAATAGACCAATCCAAACAAAGTCGAAGATTGTATAAATTAGATATTTTTTAAGGTATTTTTGAAATGTGTTACTATAGCATTACATTTGAAAAACTTGCTAATCCAAACATTATTTTTTTAAAAAGGCATTTATGATATATTTTATAAATAATATTTTT